CGCGTGTGTGTTTGTGTGTGTGTGTGTGTGTGTGCGCACACACATACGTAGATACTCGTTCACAAACATGGCCACATTTGGAGATGTGGTATCTACGAGTACACATAGAAATGGTTCAATCAGGAGGCCACACTGAGCCAGGGCTGGGCTGAAAACCTGGAGGCCTGAGCCCTCTCCATTTGCCTATGGGGCTTGGTGACTGTCACTCACCTCTGGTTGGGCTGATTCCTTCCTCCCCCAGGAAGTTTTCTGGGAACAGCCAGGCCGTGCAGAGAGGCAGATAACATATGAGAAGGGCCACTGTTCCTTGAGCTTGGAACATTCCAGTCAGAACTGATGGGAGAGTGTGCCTGGGGGAAAGAGCGGTGAGGGTCTTGATCACTATTTTGAGCCAGCTGGGGCCTTAGGGGGAGTTAGGACTCTGGCAGGATGAGGAGTGATGGGGGACACCTGCTGGCACTAAAGGGGAGTTACATTCAGCTGTGTGTATCTGCATTCCCACCTGGGAGGGGTCTGTTGGAAGGGTTGTGTCCTAGGGAAGTCCAGATGCACCCTGTCATTACAAAGTGGGGGTCTCTGAATTCTTCATGTCTAAATGTGGCTTGGGACCTGGGAACTGTGAAGCCCTCAGTGGCCTTGGGGAGCCCTGAGAATGCCCCCAAATTGTCTAAGAGATGTTTCTGGGGGGAAATTGGATAAGGAATGTTTCTCACAGGAGTACCTGTAGGATTTAGGAACCCTTTATCCCTCACAACAACAGGGCCATTAACAGCTACAAGTGAAGACCCCCTGCCTTGGCTGCTGCCCCTGTCAGGATGACAGCAGTGGCTCATTTCTGGCAACTGTGGAGCCCGGAGCCCCCCGTAGATGGGCAGGCGGAGGCAGCTTTGTGCACAGGTGGATTCACTTGGATTTTTGCAGCCAGAGAACGAGAGAGTTTAAAAAGGACGTCTGAAGCCTGTTTCCCTCCTAGAGGAAGGGGGGGGACGGACCACAAATAACTTTTGAAAAGGGGTCTAATGTTGACTTGCTGCTTCCCACTGTTATTTTAAGGAGACTTTTCTGTACAGGACCACCATGTGGACAGCAATAACAGGCTGACAGGAGTCGCCTTGCTTTCTAGCATAGCCTGTGATGTTTCGATTAGCATTAAAACCTAAAAGGGCGGACTTCCATAATTTCAAAATATGTGAAATCCACCTTGAAGGAAGCACATGTGTGGGGCACACTGGAGACCTGCCTGGCTGGAGGCGGCTGGGTCCCCATGGCAACGTCACAATCCCCCATTTCTGCAGGCATTTGTGCTGTAAAAGCAGAATTCCAGATGTGATACAGTATTTGGAGACTCCATCCCCGGGCCTCGGAAACGGTATTTGAAGTCAGCACAATTCAGTGCACACTCTCTGTGTGGTCCTAAGGCTCTTCATTAGTAATTTTGTTTTGATCTGAACATTTCCTCTGAGCTTAGGCGTAACAATCATGTTTATAGCTTTCAGTTTTCCTCTGTCGTCTAATCACTATTTTGCCCTTGCAGGGAGATACTTTCTCGGGCTTCTGGAGTGAAGTCTTTGTAACTACCTTTACCAGCAAAGCGGGAGGAGCAGAGAGCTATTTTTCTGGGAGAGTGAGTGTTTCGGTGGTTGGTTGTTCTCTTCCCACCCAGTATTTACAGAAAGCCAGTTAATCTGTCTGTGAGTTGTCTGTGTGTGCTTTTGAAACTCCAGATGGGTTGACTGTTACCTTTAAGATGCCAGTTCTCTAACATGCGGTTCTCATTTGAGTGGATGGGAGTGGTGTGTGCGGCGGAGGGGAAGGGGCTGGCTCTCCATCCAGAGGCATGTTTTATAGCTTTGCTTTTAACGTTTTGAGGATTGGAAAAGTGGAACAATCCTGTCTGTTTGTGAGTATCAGCCACGGGAGAGAGCACACAGCCCAGATCCTTAACAGACTATTGGACAAAGTACTAGGGCTTTTGCTCTGTGAAAACGGAGGAGGCTGCAGAGCTGTATTTTGTTTTTAAACACAGGGGAAAAGTCCATGTGTGTATCCCTGGACTTTAACTCCATGTGCGTGTTCCTGTGGCAAAGCAAATAAAAATCATAAAGTTGAGCAGGGAAGGGCATTTTAAAATATATTGAATTCCATTTAGGCCACCATTGAGAAAAGTTGCTATCATTTTGTAATATATAAATGTATCAAACATTGTATGCCTTAAACTTCTATAATGTTATATGTCAATTAGATATCAACCAAAAAAAAATAAAGGAAAAAAGTTGCTATGTGAGAAACAAGTCATAAATGCCTTTACCCCATCTTTATTGTTGTGAGTGGGTTTCCTTGGTGGGGTGGGCTAGTGAAGAGAAGCTTAGATGAAAACTCAAGCTCTCGGTTCGATAAGGAGGACACATGGTAACTTGGCGCAGGCTGGCTCCATGCTAGAGCTCAGGAACAATTGTCCCTTCAGCTCTCCTTTGGGGAGCATGAAATTAGGAACATGTGTGTGCTGATTAGCAACATGTCAGAGATGAATCATGATTACGGCTTTGGTCTGGTGCACAGGCAATGCTTTGGAGCAGTGATTTCCTACCTCCTTGAGCAAATCTCTCTAATTAGCTTAAGATCTCCGGGTCTTTTTGGGCTGACGTGGTAATTGCTGGTGGGAACACACCGGCACTCCCCCGGAGGTTGTGTGTCCCCACCAGCCGTCCAAGACCTCGCCTCCCCACATCAGACAGCTGGCTGGCATCCTCATTTCTGACGCTGGTTGCATGTCCATGGGGAGTGAGAAGAGCAGCTCCCCGGAATGTGGAGCAAGTTTCTTGAATAGATCCAGGCGCAGGCTGGCTTTGTGATTTATTTTCCTTGTGTTTTGGGTTTGCCAGCATTCTCCTTGGCTTACATCATCACCTGGGGCTTCTCTGCCTTTGCTGACTTTTTTTTTTAAGTTAAAGGTTTGAAGTGAAGTAAGTGGGATCTGTCTTCGTTTATGAAACCGTCTGAACCTGCATGGAATAAATTGACCCCGTGGTCTGCTGCTTGCCCTCATCATGTCCAGTGGTCATAGGCAAGGAGCGCCTGTCCCATTTCTCATTTTAAGCCTCACAAAGCTGTCTGTCTTTTTAATCCCATAGACACAGTGGAAACTCATGATGGAGGAAATGTGATGGAAAATAGAGAATTGGTCTTAGTTTTAATTAGTTACTCAGTGTACCTGAAAAAAAAATCCTCTTCAGTTCTTTCTGACAAATGCCTTTCTATAAATTTCACCCAGTCAGTTCGCTAAAATATTACCAGCTTTCCAAAAGTTCCTTAACTGATTTGAAAGCAGTCTTATTTAAACCTCACTGTTTGGCCTGCCTTCCGTTGGTAAAGGGGGGCACTATAAATAAACTAGCACAGTCCTTTTCAAAATGCATTTTTCCAAAATGGCAGTTAAACTGTCTTGGGGCTGGATCGGTAATGTTGTTCTGGGAAGTTGGTATCTTCCGATGGCCCAGAATCCCTGAGGACCCTCAGGAACTGGCCGTCGATGGCCCCTGGTGGTGCTGCTGGCTGCTCTGTGGCATCCCGCCCAGGGCTGTCTTTGTGTCCAGGCCTTTGCTTCTTTGCCATACGGATGGAGCATGGTGTGGATTTTCGCCTTTTGAATTCTATTGCTGTAGAGCACTTAAAGGTTATCCTCCCCCCTTCCTGAGTAGGACATGTTTTCTCCATTATGTTCCCATTTGGTGCCTTTGCGGTCCGTGCTTACTACCCCAGTGTTCACAGCAGAGCTCCAGGCACCTGGGGCTTGCTTCTAAGCTCGCATTGGAGCAAATTAAAAGCTGACATTAGTGTAGCACATGGGGGTGGTTAATGAACAAAGGATATGACACCCTACGGCCACAGCATTGACATTTATAGTTTTAAAATAATAGGCAACAAACAAATATTCTTAGTCATCAGCTTATTAAATATCAAAACAGGTGTTGTAAGTAAAAGCTTGGAGTTATTTCCTGACAGCTTCCAAAGCTGTCGACCTGATTATAAGTTGCGTTATCTCTGTTTTTAGTGTGGGCCTTGATTCTAAGCCTGTATATAAATAACCCTGTCATACCAAGCTAGGTCCTCCTGGGTTCTCTGTATGTATTACCTGGCTGGATCATGCCTTCGTTAATTCAGACAGACAACTAATAATTTATCAAGGGCTGACTATGTGCCAGGCCCAGGACTGTGGGGCAAGCACTGGTGGGGGTGTAGGGAGCTGCCATGGTCACTTTGCCTTTCGCCTTCGGTCTCTTTCTATCTTGTCCAACTAGAGCACTTATGAGCGATGTAGTTACTGGGTCACCTCGTTCCCACCAAGACCATTAGCAGAACACATGCCTTAGTTTGGTGGTCAGTGCCTTCTGCCACTAGTCCGTCTGCCTCTTCTCCCACAAGGTCTGGGTGCTGGAGACAGATCATGCCTGAAGATGCCACTTCCTGTGAGTGTCCCACAGTCCGCCTCATGAGTCTTCTCCCGGGGGATACTTTCATGTTATGTTTTAGGGCAGGAATCTTCTGAGACAGGAATGGTGAAATAGCCATTTTGGTGTCGTGTCAGATGCTGTGCTGAACACCGTGTGTGTGTCATCTCAGATAGCCCCTGCACCAGCCTGGTCCAGGAAGTTTTATTCACACTTTATATGTAGCCCAGGAACATGAGGCTCAGGAAGGTTTAGAAGCTTGCCCAAGGTCACACAGCTGCAAAGTTGCACAGATTTGAACACACATCTGTGCAACTTCCAAAGCCCATTCCATTAATCACCTATATCCCAGACAAGCCCCAGGCTGGCCCACAGAAGCCTATATCTGGGATGGCAGAATCTCAAGGAGCAGGTCAGAGAGATGAGTGTCCCACGTCTGTGTGCAGCCAGGGTGGCAGGGAGTGCAGTGACAAGTGATCAGTTGGCTGTGGCTGTGTGTAGGAGAGGAACAATGACAGCCCATGGTGTGTGGGACATCAGTTTCCATTTCATCAAACTATACTTTCGGGGATCATTTCTGTAGTTTGTTACTAGAGAAGCTTCTCTGAATGCGTAGTGCACCCGGAACCACGAGGAGGAGATGGAGTGTTCTCTCCTGAGCCTGAAGTCGGCTATTGGTGTTACTTTGGTGACTTCCATTGGCCATTGATGATCATTCTTCTCTCTCCTTGGAGGGAGTAAGAGGGAGAAAACACCGTCTGAGTGGGGAAAAAAACCATTTCATCCACATTGCAGCTGGTTATAGGTGTGTATTAGCTTTCAATTGTTGCCGTAATAACTTACCACAAATTTAGTGACTTAAACAGCACAGCTTTATTATCTTAAAGATTTAAAAAGACTTTATTTATTTTTAGAGAGGGGAAGGGAGGGGAAAAAGAGATGGAGAGAAACATCAATCTGTTGCCTCTTGAATGCACCCTAACTGGGACCGAACCCACAACGCAGGCATACTTCCCAACCAAGAATCAAAATGGCAGCCTTTGATTTTGTGGAACGATGTCCGACCAACTGATCCACACTGGTCGGGGCTGTTATCTTAAAAGTTTTTGAAGTCGGAATTCCAAAATGAGTGTTATGGGGCTGAAATCAAGGTGTTGGCAGGGCTGGCTCCTTCTGGGAGACTGGAGGGGAGAATCCCTTATTTTCCCCCCTTTTCCAGCCTCTAGAGGGTTCCTGAATTTGTAGGCTAATTAGCCTCTTCTTTCTCCACCTTCAAAGCCAGTAGCACAGCATCTTTAAATCAGTGTTTCTCTGTTTCTCCTTTTCTCTGCTTTCTGCTTCTGTTATCATACCTGCTTCCATGATCATATCTCCTTCAGACTCTGCTTTTCCTGTCTCCCTTTCGTAAGGACCTTTGTGATTGCCTTGAGCTGACCTGTATAATCCAGAAGAATATCATCTCAGGATGCTTAAAATGAATAACATCTGCATTTTTTTGCTTCATAAACAAAACATTTATAGGTTCTTAGGATTATGATGTGGGCATGTATGGGGGTTCTGTGATTCTGTCTGGCACACAGTGTAGAGAAAAGAGTAGTGCTCTGTGGGCTAGCCCGGGCACCATAGCTCAGCCTACTGGGGGCCCTGGAGCAGTGAAAGCATTACTCAGGGGTGAGCTGAGGACTGCCTGATGGACCACCTGGCTGATGCATGTACTGAGAAGCCATGCCTTCTGTGACTTCCAAGAGTGAAAGGTCTTCAGAGTGCATGCAAGAGCTGGTACCTGTGATGGTGTCTTTTGCTTCCAAGCTCCATGCAGGTTTGGATGGTCACAGGGTCTTTTGGTATCTGATTTTCTGTGGAATCAGAACTACCATTTTATATCTACATTGGCAGGCATGCCATGCCAGTGAAATTACCATGCTCACATCAAATGAGTATATGGGCAGACTGATGTATCAGCAACGCAGTGTCATAGGGGCTGGAGTAGGGTGGGAAGCCCATGGCGGAGCAGGATGAGGGTGATAGGAAGGGCTTCCCAGGAATATTGAAATGCTCAAGAGCATGCTGCACTGAAGTGCAGTACCCAGAAGGGTTTGGAAGAGGGTAGAAAGGAGTGCCACATCAGGAATAGTTTAGGAAGGTCAGGAAGCCTGCGGTGGGCTTGTAGCAAAGGAACAAGGGCAGATTTGCACATTAGTAGCCACAGTCTCTTGAGGTCAGGATGGTCAGGATCCAGGTCTAGTTCAGGGCTAAGTGCCCAGCCCATCAGGGTCCAGGTGGAACGCTCAGTGAGTAGTGAAGGACACTGCATGCAAAGCATCACCATCCTTCGAGGCCAGTTCATTTGGAACAGCTCCACACTCATCACAGAGACCTTATTTGGAGGGATTTACGTTCTTGTATATACAAGTGATATAGAACATCTCACTGTCTTGGGCTCCTTTCCACACTGCATTGCTCATTGCAAGTGCCTAATAATTTTGTGTTAAAAACATGTTGCAATAGAAATACAGGGAGGACAGGAAAAAAGGAGGAAGAGCTGACAAAGTCCTACAAGTAAGGTGATTGATTAGTCATCAGAATCTATGTACCAAGGAACATGCTGTTAAACAGAATGCATTTCCCTTTTGAAAAGTGCTACTTCTTCATGGCTTCACAAGGTACTCCTTATATCATTCCCAGGGGAGAGTCATGCAAACTGTCTTTTAAAAAACTCAGGGGAGGAGACCTGGACCTACTGGAGTGAAGTAGTTTGCCACTGGTATCCAGCTGGAGGATGAAAAAGGTTGAGATACTTACCTTGGCCTCTAGATTGCATGTTTGTTTCCCTCTCATGATGTTCCCTTTTCCTGTTCATTCTAAGTCAGTTATCCTTCCCTCTTTGAAGCGTCTGATATGGGTCATTCTTACTCTTCCTGAGGTGCTGCCCCTGGCATTTCATATGCTGTATGCTTACTTATGGCTGGCTTCCCCCTCCTTACATATATCTTATATGACATCTACATTGAGACTTCTTGGAGGGCTGGATATGATTTGAAATTTGTCTGTGTGCCCTTTGTGTGATCCACATATCTAGTTACTTTGCTTCTGAGGGCAGGGACAGTGACTGCTTTGCTCACCACTGTACCTGGCATGTTGTCTGGCTCCTAATGGATGGTGAGTGAATTTATGGCCTGGGGATTTGTAAGGGCGGGAGAGGGTGTGGTTTGGGTGTTGGGCAGTGTGAAAGGGTTGTGGGGATTGCGTTGTCTTCTGGCCTCCTGCTGGGTCGCCTTGCTCTGGTCTTGGCCATCTGGAAGTTGAGTGTCTTGTAGTTGCACAGACTAGCCTTGTCTGTAAGTGTTTATGGCAGAGTTTAGGCTTTTAATAAGGTAACAACACTTTCCAAAGTGTTTCAGTTCAGGTGAGAAATTCTGGAATCTTGTATATGTGGGGGAAGGGAGGATGGAGGAGGAAAGCTGGAGAAGGAGGGTGACCAGCCCAGGGGTTCTTGGGCTGGTATGCCATGTTGACTTAGATTTTGTTACTGCTCGCTCCTCACTTTAATTAGAATGGGGTGTGTGTGTGTGTGTGTGTGTGTGTCCCTGCCTGTCCCTTTCTGCACAGCTGTGCTTTCCCAAGGTCCACGTTTATCTGAGCTCAGGGATACAGTTTCAGCGGGCGTGCCTGGCTTCAGGGGAAGCAGTGTGAGCATGCCTGCAGCATGTGGATGTGCTGGGGCTGTGGTCTGAGACCCGGGCTCCATCAGAAGCGCTCTGCACTTTTTGTCTCAGTGTAACAATTGCCCGTTACATACCAGGCTGTCAGCATATGGTTTCCCCAGCGTCCCCCTTGTTGAGTAGAAACTTCAGCTGTGTGGCTAGAATATTTTCCCATCATTTAGCACTTCAGAATTAACATATTTCGGAGAATTCTGCAATTAATGCTGAATAGCGCATTTTCAGATAACTACAGAAACAGTTAAGTCAGAGGCGGTAGATCTGTAGCTACTCTTTCCCATGATGGATAAGTGGTGGGTTAGGAGAAGGCGGGGCCAGCAAGAGGACTCCGGGGCTCCCTCTGCGGATGCTGTAATTAAAGTGGGAAGTCTGGTGGAGTTGTTATCCCTGCTGTTAAGAGTGCAGATGGCTAACAGCCACATCACCAAGAGTTAGAGTTAGACCTTTTAAAGTCTTTTTTTTCTTTTTCTTTTATGACCCACCCCATATATTCCAAGCAAAGGTATGGATGCAGTGAGGAATTTTCTCATTAAAAGTAACAGTTTGTTCCCACACTCATTCCTGGTCTTGGAATGAGAAACCTGTTTCCTTAGACTTGAGGAATTGCCTATCTGTCGTGACTTAATAGAGCTTTTGGACGAGAGTGCCTGGGTAACAAATTTTATAACCAATCAGTGCTCAAAGTGGATCCAACTGGTAGGGCTCCAGCTGGCAATGCATCCTCTTCCAATTTTACTGTTAATGAATCATTATTTAAGCCCCAAATACAGAGCAGCCTGCTCCTATTGTCTTGGGGAAGTGAGTGCTCATGATCCCCGTGGCCCAGCAGTTAGGAATCTCCTGGGCCGGGGGGAGTTTGGCAGCCAGAGGGGCAGGCGCGGATGGAAAGAGTGAAGCTCTGCTCAGTGACTGGCATGACCCTGGGTTTCTGCAGTTGTGGGTGCGTTTTGACTCCATGGGGATCTGTGCTGGAAAAGCAAGTTGGCTTCACTCCTCATCATGTTTTCCTGTTTTCCCGCAGGGAGTGGGGCCGGCTAGCAGAAACAGCGGGCTGCACAATATCACCTTCAGATATGACAGTAAGTAACTGGCTTGACCTCCAAAGAATGAAGCCCTTTGAGTGATCTAAAGCTTATATAGTCGTGCTTAATCAAGGACGCTGGGGGGCCTGGGGTTAAGGAATTTTCTGAACCTGCTCAGATTTGTCAGCAGAGCTAAAGTGGCTCAGTCTGAATTAAGCCACTCAAGAATTTGGGACAGGTCAAGTGTCCTCTGTAGTGTTTAGAGAAGTTGTGCATGGAGACCTCCCCTGATTTCCTCAGGACATAGTCCTGTCCTTAAGAACAAACACAGCTGTCTGTAGGACCCAGCAGGCAACACATGCACGAAGCTACTCAAGGGCAGGGTGCAGGGCCCAGTGGGACTGTGGCATCCTGGACAGGCATGTTTGGTCGCAAAGCAGCGCTGGCTCTTCTGTTCCAGCTGCTCGTGGCCTTGAGGAATCCCCCCGAGTATAGCCAGACATGATTTCCAAGAGGAGTAGGAGAGCTGCATTTTTCTGTATGAACATTTTTTAAATATTGGCATTTATTTAAAAATTGTCAGAAACATAGAGCGGGCCAAATGAATCTGGGTTCCTGACCAGCCCAGGGGCCTTTGGTTGGCTGTTTCTGACACAGGCCTGGGTTCCAAACCTGGTTCCCCACTTACCAGCTATGAACTGTGGCAGGCGGTGTGACTTCTCCAAACCTCAATTTTCTCATTATAAAACAAAGATTAATTTCTTCCTCAGCATCTTTTTTTTTTTTTTGCATATGAGTGTAGTAGTTTAATGCATGTGAGGTATAAAAGTAAACAGAACAAATCAAGTCATTCCTCAGCAGCATTTTGAGGCTTAAACAGGTAATGCTTAATATCTATTAATATTAGAAGTTATTCCAACTGGAGTTGAAATATAAGCACCCTTTTGGCCCTGTCTCAAGGCTTCCTGGCTGACTTGTTTTCTAAGGGCAAGTTAGGGTGCTTTTTCTGAGTAAGCATACACA